GTTTTCTGATTGACCCGAAGCCCTTTCTGCAGATTTTCAAAACTAGTATTATCAATGGTGGCTGTGATTGTGTCTTTTTCATGGGTTTTTGTTATGGTGAATTCTTTTATATTTCTTATCTCATCCTTGTTTGGCAGTTTGTATAAAATTTCTTTGAGTTGTTCTTCCCGGTCTTCTGGTGCGGAATTAAGGATATGTCCAAAACACATCTCCATTATATTATCCCCATCTTCAACGGTGTATGTACAACTCACCTCCTGTACTGGTTTCTCTGCAGTAGAAAACGGTATTGTATCTTCAGGAAACTCATTACACTCAAACGCATATAGGGCTCGCAGTAGCGCGCTCTTGCCCGATTCATTTTGCCCCACAAAAATAGTAATGTTATCATACTTTGAGAGCTTAATATCCCCAGAGTCAATAATTGAGCAGAAATTTTTGATTCGAAATTTTTGTAATCTCATACAGTATTCTCCCATGTAATATGTCCATTGATATCATGTTCCTTATACACCCGCAAAATATGAACGCAAAAATCTTGAAGTACCTTGTTCCCCTCCTTTTTTGCAAGTTCATATAAACGTATAAACATTTTTTTGCCGGTCTCTGTTTGCCCAGCGTTCTTTTTGATAAAATTATGCTGTGCACAAAGAGTTTGCCCGTTCTCTATGCTTGCCTGTCCACCAAGGTCTTTAGGTTTGATGTGATCGACATGTAGCTCCATGCCATCTTTTTTCCCCCTACCACAGATAACACATGCGTATCTGTCTCGCTTCAAGATCATCGCCTTTTGTTCCTCAGAAAAATCTTCATACTTTCTTTGTTTTGCTCTGTCTGGATCGTAGTGGTACACACCCTTTTTTATTTTTATAAGATAGCCATCTTGATGAAGTTTTCGGATACCACGATCAGGATCACGAAACACTTTGTCTGTACGCCTTTTCCACTCATCAGTAGCCCAATCCACAATTTCTGGATGAGAGATGTCTTGTTTAGGGTTCTTTCTAAAGTATTCCATTAATAATTCGAGTTGTTTAGGTTTTACAACAGTTCTTTCTTGTTTCTTGTCGTAAATTGACCCCAATACTTCTTGTCAATATCAATTCCTATTCCTTTTCGTTTATGTAAGCTTGCAGCAATAAGTGTTGAGCCGCTTCCAAGAAATGGATCAAGAATAGTATCACCAACAAAGCTAAACAATTTTATGCATCTTTTTGGAAGCTCTATCGGAAAAGGTGCTGGGTGACCACCTGCTCCCACACCCCACTTGTCCAATTTTGTAATGTCATTTTCCTTACGGCCATTGTTCTTTTTCCAACAGTTTTTGTATAAGACCACAATTACCTCGACTGGGGCTATAACATAGGGAGCAGAAGCGGACATCCAAGAACCCCATGCAGTTCTGCGCGATATGTTGCCCTCATTCCAAATAATAGTCGAATGGTAGCTCCAGCCAACTTTTTTCGCAATATTTGTAATGTCAGCACAGACTGCTTGCTGACCGCCTTTATTTTTATCAAGGGGGATGTTCAAACAAAATCGCCCATCATCCCTTGCAAAGCTATAGCATTTTTTAAGCCATGCTTCCGTAAATTCAAGGTAATCGCTGCAAGACACATCATCATTGTGCGTGCTATAGTGGATATCTATGTTGTAGGGAGGAGAAGTGATAATAAGATCAATGGACGATTTTGGAATACTAGCTATTCTCAAAATATCATCTTTGTAGATGAGAATATCTTCATGCTGGAAGCAGTGAGACACCCCTTACTCCTTTTACTATCTTTCTTGTATTCTTTTTTTATTGCTATGTACATGTTTAATAAAGCGCAGAGGCAACTCTCACATTACATATTTGTCACTTTGTTATCTTTCGGTTTTCCTCTTAACTTCTTGGTTTGTGCTACCTTGTTATGAGTGCATGTTGTTTACTATGATTAGTATAGCACAAAATATACTATACATAACACTATACATAAAGCAACACATACAAGCATAACAGTCTATTTATTACTCTGGGTATCAGCAATCAATGAAGCAGGATGAAGGAGAAGGGAATATATTTCTTTTAGAAAATATTGTAAGAAGAGTATGTAAGAATATGAAAAACAAAGCCACCTCATGGTGGCTAATATTACAAAGTATACAGTGGCACATGGCGCCTACAAAGCACCAACATATACCGAATGTACTGGAGATAAAAATATTGGAGGTAAAGGGATTCGAACCCTTGACCCCTAGAATGCAAATCTAGTGCTCTAGCCAGCTGAGCTATACCCCCTATTTACAGGGTACACAAAATGAGGGTATTTGTCAATGTTTGTATAATGCTGTATAATAAAAGAAAAAAGGAAAAGTCATGACACTAACATTAGGTATTTGTAATGAAGCCGATTTGCGTGTAGCTGTAGCGCCAGATGTAGTTACAAGCTTGCTTAACCTTGGTATTACAGTTCAAGTGGAGAAGGGCGCAGGAGTCAATGCTGGGTTTCTTGATACTATGTATACTAAGCAAAAAGCTAAGCTGGTAAACAAGGCAACACTGCTAAGCAAATCAGACATTATTATTTCTTTTAATCCAATTTCATCAGTGGATCAAGCAAAAGCAAAGAGTGAAGCGATGTTTATTTCACGATACGCACCCTACGATAATGTATCTAAACTTAAGAATTATGTCAAAAAGAAGCATACTATTTTTAGTTTAGATATGATACCACGCATTACTGTAGCACAATCATGCGATGTACTTTCTTCGCTTGCGTCTATTGCGGGATACAAAGCAGTGCTTATTGCGGCAATGAAACTTACCCGCTATTTCCCTATGCTTACGACAGTTGCAGGGAGCATACCTCCCGCAAAAGTATTAGTGATAGGGGCAGGGGTAGCTGGTTTGCAAGCCATAGCCACTGCGCGCCGTTTGGGTGCAGTTGTGGAGGCGTCTGATACACGAGAAGCTGCTCGAGATGAGGTAAAAAGTCTAGGAGCAAAGTTCTTGGAAGTCGAGGGAGCCACAGACGATAAAGCAGCAGGCGGTTATGCTGTGGAACAGACAGCAGAGTTTAAGAAAAAGCAAAAGGAAGTAATTGAAAAAAGTGTTGCGCGCTCTGATGTGGTAATTACCACAGCTCAACTGCGCGGAAAACCTGCCCCTAAAATTATTACAAAGAGCATGGTCGCATCTATGAAACCTGGAAGCGTAATAGTAGACCTTGCCTCTTCTACCGGAGGAAACTGCGAGCTGAGCAAGGATAAAAAAGAAACACTGCACAATGGAGTGCTTATTGTAGGAAATTCCGATCTCTCAGAACAAGTAGCTTCGCATGCATCCACACTGTACGGAAAAAATATTTTGAATTTCTTAAAATTCATGGCAAATGATAAGGGAAAATTAGATATACATAATGTTTCTCACGAGGTAATTGAAAAAAGCTGCATTGTTCGAAATGGTGAACTTCTCTATAAGGAGGGAAAATGAATATTCTTGTGACGATATTTGATTTTATATCAAACTATTTATCAGAAATTACATTGCTACTTTTTGCGTCGTTTCTTGGCATGGAGATTATTGGAAGGGTTCCCACCCTGCTACATACTCCATTGATGTCGGGAGCAAATGCAATTAGTGGTGTTACGGTGATAGGGGGGATATACCTTGTTCGCTCTGCAACACTTGGTGATTATCTTACTATTATTATCGGTGCTCTAGCTGTGTTCTTAGGTACCATAAATGTTGTTGGTGGCTTTGCTGTTACGAACCGCATGTTAGAAAAATTTAAGAAAAGTAGCAAAGAAAATAAGGGAGAGAAATAAATGACAGCATATTCAGAGACATTCGTTGAACTTTCCTATTTAATTGGTACTGTTTTCTTTATATTTGGTCTTAAGAGGATGAGCCACCCAGATACTGCAGTAAAGGGAAATATAGTGGGTGCTATAGGAATGACCATAGGTATACTTACTATACTGTTTACCCCTATTGAGTACGCTACAAATAACTACATTATCATCTTTGTTGCAATTGCGTTAGGTGCGTTTGCTGGTTACTTTGCTGCTATACGTGTAAAATTGACTGCAATGCCAGAAATGGTATCCTTGTTTAATGGTTTTGGTGGTGGGTGTTCCATGCTTATTGGTTTTAATGAGTTGTATAAACTATGTGATACTCCTGTTGAGGACTCGTTTCTACTTGCACTTACAGGTGTGCTAGCAGTTTTTGTAGGAGCTATTACTCTTATTGGATCAATAGTAGCATGGGGAAAGCTAGCAGGCTTTCTTCGAGATAAAATTAAAGTTCCACTTCCCCAGGTGATTAACCTGCTCTTATTGGCAGTTATTATCGTTATTGGGTACCTACTCCTTAGTGGCGAAACAGTTACGCTAGGGTACACACTACTACTTCTATTGGCATCTTCCCTGTATGGATTTACTTTTGTTACTCCAATAGGAGGAGGAGACATGCCTGTGGTTATCTCCCTTCTCAATTCATTTAGTGGAGTTGCAGCTGCTATTTCAGGGTTACTGTATAACAATACATTTATGGTAGTAGGAGGTTTGTTGGTAGGAGCATCGGGTACTATACTTACCGTACTTATGTGTAAAGCCATGAACAGATCGCTGTTTAATGTACTGGTAGGGGGCTTGGGAGCAACAACACTTTCAAGCGATGGAGATGCCAATAAGGTAGTAAGAGAAATAACTATAGCTGACCTCTCTGTGCAGCTAAAGTATTCGAGTAAGGTACTTATTGTGCCAGGGTATGGGCTAGCGGTAGCTCAGGCACAGCACGCATGCCACGAGTTGGAAAAATTACTGTCTTCAGAGGGAGTGCAGGTAGCATATGCAATACACCCGGTTGCAGGGCGTATGCCTGGGCATATGAATGTACTTCTTGCAGAAGCACAGGTGCCCTACGATAAGCTACTAGAGCTTGAGCCAGCAAACGAGCAGTTTGCGAGCACAGATGTTGTGCTTGTTATTGGTGCAAACGATGTAGTGAACCCCGCTGCAAAGGAAAACCCAGGTAGCCCAATATATGGTATGCCTATCTTGGATGTAGAACAGTCGAAAACAGTAGTGGTGTTTAAGCGAAGTATGCGTACGGGTTACGCGGGAGTAGATAACCCACTCTTTTATAGAGAGAACACACGAATGCTGTTCGGGGACGCAAAAGACAGCCTTTCAAAGCTAAAAACAGAGGTAAGCAGCGCGTAAGCATTGGCAAAATACAAAGGCAAAGGTCTTGCTGTGAGTGTTTTTTTGTAGAAACGCATAACACAACACAGCACAATTACAGAAATAGAAAAGGACATGCGATGCATGTCCTTTTCTATTTCGAGGGAAGCACTAGTGGCAACTAGTGTATAGTGTATAAAGCTAGTGTATAAAAAGAAATGAGTGTGGTGATGCTCTTGAAATGTTATTAGAATACTGTTATTAGAATGCTAACTGCTGTATAAGCACTTGCTGCCTCCACAGCCAGTCATCTTGCTGAAAGAGGTAGCTATTGTAATCCCAGTTACTCGAAAAAGTATTCCCCATAAACAGAGGGAATCTTTTATCTTGAAAAAACCCCTGCTGCTCCTTTGCTATTGCTATTTGGGTTTCTGCCTCGAAAAGCCAGGAGAGAAATTTCCTTGCCTGTCCTTTGTTCCTGCTGTTATTGTTTACCGCTATATATGTTTTTCCCACAACAGGGAGCTGTGAGTTATCTTTTGTAAGAAAAAATATCTCAAACTCATTCTGAATATGCATAGGGAACTGAAAAAAAGAAGAGCTTTGCACAAGCTTGAATATAATATTATCATTACGTAACTGTGCAATGTAGGGTACAGGGCTAAAGCTTGTTTTATACTGGGTAATATATTCTTCATAATCGGTGTATGTCTTTTCAAGCCATTCTTGGTATTGCTCTTCTGAAGAAAAGAAACTCTGGAATGTTTCTTCCATCTCGGGAATAAACCCAAAGGTAGAGAGCGAGTTGCGAGAAAGAGTACTGTACTCCTTTGTAAGCTCTGAAAGCGTTGTGAGGCTCATTCTACTATCTGGGAGCTCTTCCTTGAGAGCGGTTTTTTTTACAATAATAAGCGGAAGAGAAAAAGAAAGCAGCTGCAGTGCATTTTGCTGATCTGATATCATGATAGAATCACTCTGTATATATCTTTCAAATGATTGCAATTGATAGGTAAGTGTAGCGAGCTCTTCCTCACGTATTACAAGCAGATCTGAAGAAGAAACATCAGAGTGCAGAAATGGAGTTTTTACGTCTATAATTCGTGTAGGGTACTGAGTATTATACAGTTTTATAGCAAAATAGAGTTCGGGAACATCCGATGCCACTTTTAAGCGTCGCTCTGTAAGCTGGGAGCAAGAACCTAGAAAAACCAGCAATGTAATGTATGCCAGCACAGCAGTGTAAGAGGGAAGCGCCTTTCTCATAGATATCTAGGTGTTCTGTAACCCTTCTGCATATTGGTATATCTTTTGAAGCACTTCTAGTATTTCTTCTTCGTCTACGGCTGCAAAGGTAAAGCGTAACATATTGTGAATCTGTATAAGAGCTATTTTTTCTTTTTCAAGCAGGGAAAGACGCAGATCTTTCGCAGAAATATCCCCACAGTCAAAGCACATAAAATAGCCTGAGCTAAAATTGAGAGCACGCAAGGGAGAGTTAGGATACTGTTGTGTAAGTACTGCTATAGTATCCTTTACTTTACGGTATTTTGTTTTAAGATATGTATACGTGCGCTTCTGCTCTTCCTCTGTATGGTTGTCCTCAAGTATCTTCATAAGCAGTGTTTGAGATAAGCGACTAGCACTTGTAACAGTGGCGCGTATAGCACTGACTACCTTCTGTTCTAATGCAGATTCCAGTTCTGTTCTAAGTTCAGGATTACCAAAGCTAAGGAACCCTACACGCAAGCCCCATGCAAGCATTTCTTTTGTTGCTCCATCTATCTTTACTGCTAGCACATTCTTGTGAAGAGAAGCAAAGTAGCTAAAAAGAGACTGAGAGCAATGACTTTCTTCAAAACACATGCCAAAATATGCATCATCACAAAGCACAAGAACAGCTGTGCCCCTCTTTGCTTCTTGTTCTACAACCTCAAGCAGGGCGGGAAGGTCGGCTTTTTTAAGAGTGCTACCACTGGGGTTGTTGGGAAAATTGAGTAGCAGTAGGCATTTTTTTTGCTTTTCTGCCATAGACCTCAGTGATCCACGTAGCGCTTGAATATTGATGTTTCCCTCTGCGTCAAAAAAAGCACAGGTTTCCAATGTAGCTGTCAGGTATGTTTCTATGATGTGCAGGTAATTTTCCCAGTAGTGTGCATGAGAAAGCACAGAATCCCCTGTGTTAAGAAAAAGAGTAAGAGCAAGATGTATGCCATGTGTAAGCCCCGAGCACACTATAGGGAGACTTGCATGCCCAGCGTGCAATGAGGGGTTTTTTGCTATGATGTGCTGCCTCCACGCCTTCCGTAATTGTGGAAGCCCAGCTACCGGTGCGTAGGCGACTATGTCCCGAGCGCTAAGGGTGGGAAGTATGTTTTGTACAGCACTAAAGATAAGTGGTTCTGAGTTACTTAATGCCATTCCGGCTGTTGCCTGTATTTTAGCAGAGGTCGACTGTTCTGTTTGTGCTACTATGCCTTGGGGAAAGAACAGTGCCCTTCCTTTTTGTGAGAGCAACGTGCCTATAACGCTGGTATCAAGTGTAGCATTTATTGCTTCTAATACGGTATTCATGCAATCCAAAACTCTACTATGTATAGTTATAGTTAGTTATAGTATAGTATAATTGTATATTATAATTAATCTTGTGAAGGGATCTGACCCAAACTGTTTACAATGTATTTATTTTAAGATCACATGGGAAAACAAACACCCTCGTGCTTGCACAAAGTTTCATTTTAAGGGGAAAGAAATGCCCTCTGTTGTTGTAAGAAGGAATTCGGGCTCTCCCTGTCCTTTCTTTACTTCTAAGTTTCAAAGTTTCTCTGATATGCCTTCCAGGAGTGGAGAATGATATCGTCTATGTTGTTGTACTTGGGCTGCCATGCAAGCAAATTCCTTGCTCGATCTGATAAGGCATACATAGAAGCAGGGTCACCTTCTCTTCTCCCCCCAATAGTAAGCGGAATGTCCTTCTTTGTTACCCGCACAGCACTCTCGTAGGCCTCTCGCGTCGAGAAACCCTTACCAGTGCCAAGATTAAGAGTAAGCGATTGTTTTTTTTCTTTGAGAAAGTGTAGGGATAGCAGGTGTGCCCTTGCAAGATCGCTTACGTGTATGTAATCGCGTATACAGCTACCATCTGGCGTGTCGTAATCGTCCCCAAAAAGTGTAAAATCCTTTCGTGTGCCTAGTGCTGTTTCCAAAAGTATGGGGATGAGATTTTCTGGATTTTTTTCTATTGCAAAAAAAGAACTTGCTGGCTCGTGTCCAGATGCATTAAAGTATCTAAGAGCAGAGTAGTAGAATGGATATGCTCTGCTATACCACTGCAGCATCTGCTCTATAATAAGTTTTGTTTCCCCATAGTAATTTATTGGTTTTGTAGGGTGCTTTTCGTCTATAGGAAGATAGACGGGAGTGCCGTATACAGCGGCACTTGAAGAAAAAACAAAGTAAGGGATGTTCTGTGCAATCATTGCGTTAAGCAAGTTTATGGTTCCCGTAATGTTTATATCAGAATACACTGCTATTTCATGTATGGATTTCCCTACTGATTTAAGAGCTGCTAAATGAACCACTACCTCAGGCTTGAAATTTTGCATACAACGCGTAAGAACTTCTTTGTTGCGAATATCTCCTAAGACAAAATCTGCACCCTTCGGGATAGATGATTCACTCCCAAAAGAAAGGTTGTCTAATACCAAGACCTCACAATTATCTTTTAATAGGTAGAATACTACATGGCTTCCAATGTATCCTGCTCCGCCTACTACTAATGCTCTCATTGTCCTTTCTCCTTATCTGTTTCTACCATTCGAGTAGTATAGCACCACATGTAAGTCCAGCTCCAAAGCCTATAAGTAGCACTTTCATGCCTCTTTCTAGTCTTCCGTTCGCCTCTGCTTCTGCTATCGCTATGGGGATGGAAGCTGCTGATGTATTTGCGTATGTATCTAAGTTGAGGACTATTTTCTCTATAGGAAACTGTATGCGCTTTGCTGCGTTTTGTAGCATCTTTAGGTTTGCTTGATGAGGAATAAGTAAGTCTATATCATTAAGTGTAATGCCACTTTTTTGCACTATTACTTCTATGGTTTGTACGCAAAGATTAAGCACTAACTGATATACCTTTTTGCCGTTCATGCTTACAAAGCATTCTTCTTCGGTGTACGGAATATCACGCGTAGCTGAACCACCTGCTGGGCGATATAAGGACTTGTATTCTGTAGGTTCTGATATCATGTGGCGTGCTAATATTCTGCTTGTTCCTTCGAATCGAGTGCTTAGCAGTACGGCACCAGCACCATCACCAAACAGTATGCAAGTGTTTCTATCGTTCCAATTTATGATAGAAGAGAAGACCTCGCTCCCAATAACAAGTGCAGTGTCTATAGACCCTGCATGCAAAGCATCAATAGCAAGTGATGCTGCGTAGGTAAAACCCGAGCATGCAGCAGTTATGTCAAAAGCCATTGCTTCCGAGATATTAAGTTTTTTTTGTATGATGCATGAGGTGGCAGGAAAACTAAGGTGGTCAGGAGTGGAGGTAGCTGTTATAAGCATCTGTATGCTGTCTTTATCTATGCGAGATTTCTGTATAGCATGCAGCGCCGCCTTATACCCCAAGTCTGATGCGGCCTCCCCTTTGTCTGCTATGTAGCGTGTCTGTATACCTGTATGTTCCTGTATCCATGTATCAGAGCTCCCTACCTTTTGAGCTATTTCCTCGTTTGTTACGAGGGTATTTGGGATATAGCACCCAGATGAGATAAAACGTATATTATTTCTTGGCTCATTATCAAGCATCTTTTTATTATATATTGCTTGTTATTTATGCATATGATAATAGTATACTACATAAAGTATATCCATTCATTGGTATACTTCAATGTCTACGTAGTAATTTTATACATGATACATTTCTTATTTTTCTTGACGGGTACCAAGAGGAGAGCATGGAGAAAAATGTAACAACTACAATGCTTGCAAGCATATTCATGGGATAGAAGCTAAAGGGTACTGTATCAAGGTAGAATTTTGGATTAAGAATGGATACATGCTCTGTATTCCCCAGGTAGGCACGAACGCTATTTACGACTACATCGAGTATGTACACAATGCGGTTAATATGGTATGCTAAAAATGTTCCTATGGCAGTGCCAACGATGGCTCCTATGCACCCCGATAGAGCTCCCCGTAGTATAACCTGTAATTCTAACTGTCTTGGGTCTATACCTATGGCTTTAAGAATGGCTAATTCTATTTCTAAATCTACTATGCGCATGCCTGTAGTTGAAATAAGTGAAACAAGTGCAAGTATTACTGCAATAATTAGTGCTATGTAGAGTAGGGTTTTTGTACTCAAAAGAAGGGTAAACGTAGATGTGTTTTTTTCATACCACGAGCGAAGAGGGCCAAAAGGCTTTATTACCTCTTGTAACTCAGTGTATATTGCCCTTCCTCTTTTCATGGCACGGGCGTTGCGTTGAACGAGTGCGTTTTCCAACACAAAGGGGTCGGATATCTTTATGCCCAGTGTCCAGTTCTGGTCTGAAGCTGCAAGCAGGGACTGCAGATGCTCTTTTTGCATAAACACCCATGTTCTGTCCAGTTCTTCATATCCCGTAGACACTATCCCTAATACCTTTGCGCGCGAGATCTTTGGAAGAGAAGAAGCATTCTCTTCTATCGAGCTTAGCAAGAGTAGTTCGTCGCCCACAGAAAGAGAGAGAGATTTTGCTATGGCGCTTCCTACAAGCAAGGTGTTTTTTTCTGTTATATTTCTGCTCCCTTCTAACACGCGAAGGTACTGTGAAACCCCCTTGCTGCTAAGGAAATGCGTATCAACACCTCTAAATAATACCCCGCTTTTTCTTTTTCCGTGTTTTATTATACCTGCCCCCCGCAGTTCTGTGTATGCAAAGTTCACGTATGGCATTTCCCGAACGTTATCGAGCATCCTTTGCTGCTGTTCTGTGGATATGGTATACGGTAAAGTAGCACTAAGGTGGGCAGTGTCGGTTTCTATAATACGCAAGGATATGCCCTCTATCATATTGTTTGCTATTTGCTGTACCATAACAAATGGCACTATAGCTAGTGCTATAATAAGCCAGTGAGAGCCTTTCATAGTAGAGCGAGATCTCCATATTTTACCAAAGAAAAATGAGCGTGGCATTATATATGTGTGTTCTGAAGACTCTGTGCTGTAAGTGTTCCATCGCGAAGTTTGCACTGCATGTCTGACATATGAAGAAACTGAAGATCGTGACTTGCGATAATAAGTGTGCCATGTATACGTTGTGTGCAGTCCTGCAAAAGCTCGCGAATCATGGCAGAATTCTTAGAATCAAGCGACCCTGTAGGTTCATCAGCCAATACGAGAAGTGGTGTATGTACCAGCGCTCGGGCTATGGATATACGTTGGCATTCACCGCCCGAAAGTTGTGTGGGATAATGCGAGCGTCTTTTGCTAAGACCTATGTGCTGTAGTAAAATCTCTGCCATTGCATACGCCTTGTTTTTTTTATAGCCATTCATAAGCAAGGGGAGCATAACATTTTCTATAGCGTTAAGATCAGAAACAAGATAATGGTATTGAAATACAAAGCCGATGGAACGCAGTCTGAATTGTGCGCGCTGAATTTCATTGAGGGAATGCATTGCCTGACCTGCTATATACACATCCCCGCTATCTACTGTGTCCAACCCTGCAATAAGACTGAGCAGTGTTGTTTTTCCCGATCCGCTCTCCCCAGTAACAATAGTAGTACTTCCTTGCTGTATACTACATGAAATATCACAAAGCACCGGTATTGCAAGCGTTCCTTTTGTAAATGATTTGCTAAGATGTGAAATATGGACTATAGACTTATCTTCTTGTGTTTCTTTATTCATAATGGATAAGTTCCAGCGGAGATATTTTGTTTAGTGCACGCACTATGCTGATACAGCTAAGACTCAATAACAGCATTGCAAAAAGAATAGTTGAGAGCACATTACCCATGTTTGCTTCTACTATAGCATTATGTGAGACATCGATATAGAGGGAAAAAGTATGGGTAACCCACTCAGATATTTCTGAGGAGTAGTGAAGAAAGACCAAGGCTGATGAAGCTCCAACTATAGAGCTTATTATACCTATTATGCATGTTTCTCCTATAAACCAAAGTTGTATAAAAAAAGGGGTAGCTCCTATGCAACGCAACGCCACTATATCCTCCTTTTTTTTCTGTATTCTTCTTAGCATGGAAAATCTGAAATGAAGTATGATTACCGCAAATATTACTACAAGCATAAGTGTAAGGAGTATTTTTTCTGTACGCAAAGCTATGTAAAAGGACCTGTTAGATTCCTCCCATGTACTTACATTATTGAGTATGACAGAAAGAGCATTGCGCAGTCTTGTGCTTTTTGATGCGCGAATGCCAAATTGCACAGTATGCTCTATTTCTGGACTTTGAGAGAGATAATAGTGCAAGGGAAGATAGACCCAAGTAGCATCGTAACTTGGCGCTGTAGCAAAGCTGCTATACACATGTAAGGATAGCTGCTGTGGAATAAAACCAGCACCTTCACCCGGAAAGGAAACAGTGAAGCTCTCACCATCATGAAGAAAGAGATTGCGCGCCAAGACCCACCCTATAAACGCTGAGTTTTCTGTAAGCGCTGCACCTCTTGGGTCAGCATTATTCAGAAGCTCTACATTTTCAAAAACAGCATCATCTTGAAGAAACATCTCGTAGTCTACAGCCCGTATTGTAACAAGTGAAAACCCCCCCGAGCTTTTAAGAAGAGCAAACTGGTCGATAAACGCAGTAACACTCTGCACGCCCTCTATGTTGTAGAGCATTGTTCGTAGCTCTTCTATACCTATGTCTGCATTTATTGTAACACTCCCTCTGTAATCATATGTTTCCATACGCACAAGTGTATCTATAAGCAGACCTTGCATGCCATTCATAATACCAGTTATGGTAATAATGCTAAATATACCTACTGATATTCCCAGGATAGAAAGTAGCACAGATACCTGTGTACGCCTTGGATTGAATAGTGAGCGTGTAAGCAAAAATGGAACAGTCATGGATAATTTCTTGTCTCCACTACCAAAGAGTTTTCTAACACTTCTTCTTTTATTTTCTGACTATTCACGTAGTAGATTTTGAATACCACTTTCCCTTCGAAGAAAAATCTATGCACTTCTGTATTGTCTCCGCTGTATTCTATTTCTAGTTCCCTCTCATTATCGAGAAAAAATACTTCTTTTAATAATACGCCCTCAGGAGAGTAGATGGATTTGGTAATGCGCTCATTGAGAAGATTTTCGTTACTTATACTGGTGGTTCTCCCTTCGGTGTTGTATTGATAGTTTTCTTCAAATAATACTTTGCGCTGCTCTTGTGTTGGGAGGGGGTTGTTGTATGGTTCCGAAGTAAAAAAACTATCTTCTGCGTCAGCGCTAAGGTTTTCAGGAGCATCTGTGTTGTCTGCTATGGCCGACACTATTTCATATACAGTTTCTTTCTGTATTTTGCCAGCAGAGTATAATTGCTCTACAAGTCGTAGGGTATCGTAGTATGCTGTAGTTCTTTTGCTTAGCTTTCCTTCTTCGTATTCATTTCTTTCGTCATACACTGTGGCTCTTGTGCTGTTTTTAATTTGCTTCTGTGCGAGATTCCCCTCGATTGTGTAACCAAGGAAGTAGGAAGAATTATCTTGATCAAGGTAGAACACCTCCTTTAAGCCTCCAGTACCAAAATAATATATAAAGCGTTCACGCGAACCATTGGCGTAGGTACGGAAGAGTCTCTGTAATGCTCCTTTACTTGTGTATATGTATTGTTCGGTAAAGATAAGCTCTTGCTGTGCATTGTAGCGGTATAAGATTTCCTTTTTCTGTTCTTTGTTGTGGAGACTAATATCAATAAAGATACTACTGCTTTGTTTTTTGTTTGGGACGCCAGGGACTATGCTTATATCTTTTTGGGGATTGGGTTTTTCTTCTCCTTCGTATAGATAAGGAGCAAAAACCAATTCAAGTATTTGATATGCAAGACCTCCACTTACCTTAAGGAAGAGCTTACCATATATCGTATCCCCATCTTTTTGTTGCGCGTACTCGTAATAGCTCTGTTCTGTAGCATCTAAATAGATAATATTTTTTGCTATGCTGTTTAATGTAATATACTGAGTTATTTCTTTTGGGGTGTCTACATAGAAAACGTACGCTTGAGGGAGGAAGGGGGCGTAAGGATAGAGTCCTACGTACTCGTTTATTGTAAGTGGCGCTATATCACTGTAAAGCCCTTGGTATATGGTGCGTGTATACCCAAACTCTATATGTGTACCGACAAGCATGTAAAGTAGAGTGAGGTATGTTATATATTTCTTGTTGCACATGCTACGATAAAAATTCATCTAAAAAACGCTCTCTCTCAAAAGCCATAAGATCCTGATAGCCTTCGCCTGTTCCTAAGAATGCGCAGGGAATACTACATGCCTCGTAGATATTAGGTATTGCCCCTCCAGACCCTCCACCGTCGTATTTTGCACATATCATAGCATGCACTGGGAAGAGTGTATTAAAATCCTTTGCTTGATTTATTGTGTTAAGTCCACTGTTTCCATCTACAACAACAAATGTTTCTAATTCCTCCACTTTCACATGCTTTTGTATAATTCTGTAATTTTTTTCTAATTGTTGCATAAGATCTTTTCGTGTATTCATTCTTCCTGCACTATCGATGAGGACAAGTGTTTTTTTTTCTTTTTTTGCATGTTCTAGGCTAGCGTATATTACTGCGGAGGGGTCCTGCCCCCGCGTACCCTTATATATGTCGATATCCAAAGCATCGGCGTGTACTGATAGTTGCTCAACCGCTGCAGTTCTAAACGTGTCGGAGGCACAGAAGAGCATACTTTGTTTTGTTATTGTTTTGTTTTTCGCTAGCATGTATGCTATCTTTGCTACTGTGCTTGTTTTCCCTACACCATTTACTCCTAAGAGAAACAGTACATGGAGAGTATCGGGTTGCAAAGGTTGTAATGTATAAGGTACCACCAATGGTTGCAGTGTTTCTCGTACCGTGCGTAGTATATCGTCTCTTTTTGATGCTCCAATGAAGCTTCTCTGAAGCGCCTTGCTTATGCTAAATGCTAAAGAGGGTGAAAGACCACTACCTAGAAGCATGTCTTCAACTTCTGCTATGTTTTTCTTGCTTTCTGTTCCTTTTACAAATGTAATAATGTTTGAAATTAATCCCATATATTACCCTACCTTTCGTGGTATTCACTGCTTACATCTAAATAATGTGCAAACTCAAAGCCAAACCAGATAATTGCTGCAATAGAAAGCCCACTTGCACCTAAGGCAGAATAGAAGAATGCATCGCGTCGTATAGTGGATTCCTGTATAACACCTTCGCTTAAGCCCCCTTGTCGTAAAAACACTTCCTCGTTTGAGTAAAAACCAAAGAGGGCGAGAGGAGGGAGCAGTGATGCACCCATAATTGCAAATGCATTGTAAAACCTATTTCTCGCAGATTGGTAGCGAGATTCAAGAGCCTCTGTATTTTCTTTTAGTAATGAGAAGCGCAGAACGACAGGAGAGTCTTTCGTAAGAGTGTAACGTGTACTATAGTGCCCAGGGTGGTGTATTTCCAGTTGCTGGGGGGCATTGTTTCGAAGTAGTAGTGTGGGGGTGTTGCCTACCCATTCGGAGTTTATATATACCTTTGCGTTTGCAGGTGTACTGAGTATACTTATTGCATCTTCTGTGTCTATATCAAACAGAACGCGACGTATTGCTAGGTCTTTTTCTTCTAGCTGCACTGTGTTGTTCTGTAGCCTGTCTTGGTACAGCACTGTTATAGTATGTAGCCCAGCAGGCACCGTGTTCAGTAGCACTTCACCAAACCCTATCACCCCACCGTCGAGTAAAATCTTTGCATCTTCTAGTACAGCCCCTTCTTTTGTTTGCGCTAGTACCTGTAATGAGGCAGAGGGAGTACCCAGTACAGAACTTCTAATACTGTGACTAAGACTATTAAAGAGTTGCTGTATATCTGTAGGTGAGACAACAGTTTGTAGCACCTGCTCTGTTGTTTTCTTTAGATCTATGTATTGAAACAGCGTAATAAGCACATACTCGCTTATAGGCTTTACGGTGTAATAGAGCAAAGACTGTGCTTTGAGTGTTTCTGATATCTGCTGTAGGTCTGAAGAAGGGTTTATATGTACTATTTCGTGCTGATCGATAAGAGTTACAGGGAGCGTGCTTTCCACTGGTATGTCTTTGTTGGGGAGGTTTTTTATTCTCTCTATTCGCTTTGTAATATCACGTATATTCCCTTCTTCTATTCTCCTTGTATTCCATAGTTCTAGTTCCTCTTCTTTTGTAATATTACCCCTGTCTATTGCCTCTTCTTTTGCTTGTAGTTCGTCTTCTACTGCACGCAACGCCCTACTACGAAGCAGTTCTTTTGCGAGAAACAGCTCTTCGGTGGAGAGAATACGCCGAGGTACTTCTCGTATGATACTTTGCAGCATGGGGATTATAGAGAGGCTTACTGTTTTACTTTGCACACTGAGCGAATTAAAGTCCTGTGTAAGCGCCCCCACTATTGCTATATTCCATGTGCTAAGTAGTCGCTGTGTTTCTGTGTTTTGACTGTAGAGTATATGCGCGCTGTATAAGAGCAGGAGAACAAAGAAGCATACCCTAGATATTTTTTTCAAGATAGGCCTCGATAAAATCATCTATTCCCCCATCTAGCACCTTCTGGGGGTCGTTACTTTCTTTATTTGTTCTATGGTCTTTTACAAGATTATAGGGATGCAATACATAGGATCGTATTTGATGTCCCCATGCTATGTCCGCTTTCTTCTCAGATTCCTTTTCTATCCGAGATTTTTTTTCCCGCTCGTAATGATCGTAGAGTCTGCTTTTAAGAATATTCATTGCTACTTGCTTGTTCTTTATCTGAGAACGTTCGTTTTGGCATTGTGCTACTATACCGGTTTTGAGGTGTGTTATGCGTACTGCCGAATCGGTTTTGTTTACATGCTGCCCACCAGCACCACTAGAGCGGTATGTGTCTACACGAATGTCATCAGGACGTATGTCTATGTTTATAGTATCGTCAAGCACGGGATATGCGTGTACTGAAGCAAAGGTTGTGTGTCTCCTATTGCTGCTATCAAAAGGGGATAGACGTACCAGTCTGTGCACACCTGTTTCTGTTCTAAGGTAACCATATGCATAATCGCCTAGCACCTCCAACAGCACCATCTTTATACCTTGTTCTGTAAGGTATATGTCGAGTTCTTTTACGGTAAATTTCTTGTCCTCGCACCAGCGTAGATAGAGACGCAGAAGCATTTTTACCCAATCGCAGGATTCCATACCCCCAGCCCCAGTATGTATACTAAGAAACGCATTGTTTATGTCTAGTTTTTTTGTAAGGAATGTTTGTTTTTGTAATTTGGAGTAGCGTTTTGCTAGCGTGCTATGCTCGGTAATGAGTTCATCTACATAGCTTTTATCTTTATGCTCTTTTGTAAGCGTACTGAGCACAAAGAGATTCTCTGCTTCCTGCACTACAGCATCCCATTCTTTTACAAATTCCTTGAGTGCGTTTGCTTGTTTCAATACATGAGCGGCATGTCGTGTATCGCTCCAAAAATCCTCTTTTTTACTTTCTTGTTCGAGTTCTTCTATCTGATGATGCACGCTAAGCAAGTCAAAGACGCCTCCGCTGTGCTTGAATACCCTTGTGTAATTCTTCTACCTCTCGTAGTATATCTTCCATGCTATCTCCTGTTATTAGGATAGAGTATTTTCATACTTTGCACAATTGCTTGCAAGAAGAGTACAGTTGCTTAGCATATATATCTCTTTTGCATATATACTTAAGATATACACAATACTTACAGTATTACAAATAAAGCTTGCTATATTTGTTCGTATGTATTTTCTATGAGAAAGAAATTTCAGGTATTTTTTTATTACATTTCTGTACTTATTAGCCTTACACTACCGCTCTCTGTGCTTACTTCTTGTGCAGTCTATAACAGAATAGCGGTAGAGATAGATGCTCATGCTGAAAACATACAGCTAGGAGATTACAGCACTCTGCAAAACATACCAAAGCGAGAACTTGCATTGGCAAACGATAATAACGGAGGCACACTCTACTACGCTGCACTGCTCTGGTATTTTAGCAACGAGAAGGAAAAATCGATTATTGCTTTTAAGCGTTCTGCTCGCACTGCCCCCAGTCCATGGAAGGAGGAAGCCGCCCGTATTGTAGGCTCTATCTACGCAGGCGATTTCGACTACGTAGCAATGGTAGAATTTTACAAAAGCTTAGATGATGTGGGTTTCTTTGCCGCGGATGCAGAATTGTTTTATTACTATGCCTTAGGTTTGTGGGCTGTAAAGGATTATACACTGCTTACGCAGCTTGTAGAATATTCGTACGATGCAGAGTGGGTACCAGGACCAAAGCAGCGTGTGGGTAGATCTGAGGCGCTGTTTGCGCGAAAGCTATGGAGTACACTGCTTGATGCAGAGAGTCACGCTCATACCCTTAAAAGCTCTCTCTTCCCCCTCGTGCTTACGAATAGTGCGTACCCGCTTATGAATTCTGATCGAGCCTTTCCTCCTCCGCCTTGATCGGGATATAGACCAGTCCTTTTACCAGCTGTTAGAAGCAAAACTTGCATCTAAGGGGGATACTTCGTCAGCGTTTCAGTTATACAATGCTCTTCCAAATGAATATTTTTTACACAGGGCTATGCAAAATGAGCTTATTATGCTGGCTCGAGGAAGCGGCAAGCTAGGGACAGCAAAGGCAAAGCTACAGCAATTACGTTCTCAGCACAGTAGTGATATAGAGTACATTTCTTTATATGCTTCACTGGCATACATAGACTTCCTTTTAGGCAATTATACGAGTAGTTATACGTTGTACAGCGCTGTACTTGATGTGCTTGCACAGCAACATATAGTGGAGAGTGTTGCAGCAGAATACGAAGCCTTGCTATATCAAGTGATACGAAACTATCTGTACATAACCGCTAGACGTTACAGCAGCACTTTTGTGGAACAATTCATCACACTTACGGCTCTGCATCCCCAACCTGGACGTTTTGCTTTTCTCTTAGAGGAGTATATGAGCAAAGTTCTTGCAGTAGAGGGGTATACACAGCTGTATGAGGACATGCGGACTCTTGAGAAGAATTTTTCTCAAGATGCTATTGTGTCTGAGCTTTTGAAGTGGCAAACACTGCTTCTACGAATAGAAGAGCAGGAACACAGAGTTGTATTTGACTACACTGATATCAGTTTTCGGCATAGCAAGCGTTATGTAAACGACAGCGCCTACGATTTCTTCCTCGCAAACAGTGAGCGATACAGTATTTCTCAGCATGATTTTATGCAGCAATGGCCTCAGCAAGCATCCTCTGTTATAGAACACGATGTAAACCGTATTGTAGCAGGGTTATTGCATTTTGGCCTTTTTGATTACGCTTGGGATATTGTGCTCACAAATATCGATGTTGTATCCTTTGAGTATGTACGAATGCTTAGCAAGCATATGCAAGATAGAGGGGAGACCCACAAGAGTTTTGCCACTATGTACCGTTTTGCACTTCAGAGACCAGGCGAGATAAGCAACGCAGAGGATCTACGCTTTCTCTACCCCAAGGTCTACCCAACCTTGATCCGAAGTATTACAGATACTGTCTATGAAGAACTAATACTGCTTGCACTTATTCGTGAAGAAAGCGCGTATAACCCTCGAGCACTTTCTCGTGCCAATGCACGTGGTCTTACACAACTACTTCCCTCCACTGCCGAAGAGGTGGCTGAGAACATAGGGTATGGCAGATACTCGCTTTTTGATGCTGAGGATAATATACGATTGGGATACGCATATCTTGCTTATCTTTTTCGCACTATGGAGAATCCACTTAAGGCAGTGCTTGCGTATAATGCGGGGCTGGGGAACGTGTGGAATTGGGAGGAGCAATATAGCAGTGATGACCCTTTTGTTTTTTCTGCTAGCATTCCATTCAGCGAAACAAGAAAGTACATAAGAAAAATACTCAGTACTGCATCAATATATGCTCTGCTATACTACGATGTAAGTCCAAATGATTTAGTGTCATATTTTCTTAATGGGGCAGTAGAGTGAATATTACCCCAGTTTCAAGAAGTGTAGAAGCCCTTTTTTTGGGGGCATTGCAAGGCCTTACTGAATTTCTTCCTATTTCTAGTTCTGGGCATATACAGCTTATGAAGATTCTACTAAAAGCAAATGAGCTCCCCCTGCTATTTGATATTGTGCTGCATCTTGCCACACTCTTTGCTGTGCTTCTTTTTACAAGAAAACTTCTTTCCGCACTTTTGTTGACTTTACTGCGTGTACTTCAAGGCAAAAGCAAAGAGCAGGATAGAGAGCACCTGCGCCTCCTGAGCTATGTACTGCTTAGCACTTTTGCATCTGCCCCTTTTGGTTTTTTTGCAAGGTATGTGCTACTACCAAGTGCTTTTTTTAGAGCAGAAGCTCTTCTGCAATTAGCCCTTGCTTTCTTTCTTACTGCTGCAGTACTGATATCTACGAGGAGCTCTGGCGTAGCCACAAAGAGCGTGTACAGTAGCGCTACAAAATCTATGTTGAGTATGGGAGTAGGAACTGCCGTACTTATTGGGTTTGCACAGGGCTTTGCTGTTATCCCCGGTATTTCACGTTCAGGTATTACTATAGCATGTGCTTTGTTTGTAGGGGTAAGAAAAGAAGATGCGTTTCAATACTCTTTCCTTATTTCTATTCCCGCTATTTTTGCCGCCTTCTTGTTCAGTATAGATGCTGTTTCAAGCATGCTAGACACGCTTACTGTACTAGATATCATTCTTTCATCTCTCTGTGCCTTTCTTGTGGCTTTGTGCAGTTTAGCACTGCTACGTTACATGGTGCGAAGAGGAAGTATGTGGTATTTTTCTCTATACCTTTTTGCGCTAGCACTGTTTCTTTTTTTGCTACGGTGGAGTTTGTAGTACAGCTTGTAGGTGTGTTTGTACATGAGCAGCCACACAAGTAATACCATGTACAGCCCTTTATGTGCGAGATTTTACTTACTGCGAGAGAGAAAAAGTATACTCATTGTTTTCAGTAGTATTTGGATATCTAACACTACGTTCAAGTTTTTTATGTAGTAAATATCATAGCCTAGTTTTTTCTCAAAATTGTAGTTGTTTTTCCCAAAGGCGTCCTGTGCCCGAGCCCAGCCAACAAGACCGGGTTTTACAAGGTAGCGCAGTTTGTAATGAGGCAGCTGCTCTGATAGTACATGAAATAATTCTACGTGCTCACTTTGTGGACCTATTATTGTCATATCCCCTTTTAGTACGTTTAATATCTGTGGAAGTTTATCCAAGCGCAGACGCCAAAGCACAGTTCCTATCTTTGTTCTTTTTTCTTCTTTTCTATGCTTGCTTATGTGTTCTATTACTGTTTTTAGGGTGCTGTTTTGTGGTATTGGGGCTGTTTCTGCATCCTTTTCTGCTACCGTTCTAAACGTGTACTGGTAAAATGGACTAAGATACCTTCCTATCTGCCTTTGTTTTATAATAAGAGATCCCTTCTGCCTTGAACATTTTATAAGTATTGCAACAAGTAATAGTAATAACAGCAAGAGAGGGCTAAGGCTTATAAGCAAAATTAATTCACCTACTCTTCTTAAGAGTAGGTACACTGTGCGAGATGCCACATTTATATTGGACATGATCCAATGTTGATTTATGTTAGATACGGGGATGTAGTTGAAGATGTATTCAAAGAAGTTAGTAACGTGTATTACACTTACCGCTTGATGAAAAACACTATAAAAACTGTTGGAGAGTTTGCTAAACCAGTATGTACTTACTACAATGCTGTTCAATTTTTTTATTCTTAGTATTCTTTGTTCAATGTGTTCTATTTTACTATGAACCTTCTTAGCATCGATGTGTTGACATACGGCATCATAGTATTTTTCTGTACTTATTACCGCAACTATACTGTATTTTATGTAGGGGTCGTTGTGCACCCTTTGCACTAGTTTTAGCGAGAGAGGGTCAGACACACAGACGATAATACTATGACCACTAAAAAATCGTACATATATGTATTCAAAAAACCTACGCCAAAAGTAATTGAGCACAGCAAAAAGCACCGCAACAAGTGCAAGGTTAGTTTTTGGTGAGATAATGGTGTTGAGTGGAAGCAGGTAGAATACCGAAGTACTCAATAGAACGCTTAGCATAAGAGAAAAAAAGAGCCTGGTGGTTTGCAAGGGTATGCCTATGTTATAGAAGTCAAAGAGATAAAATAACAGTATCCAAAAGGGAAAGAGAATAAAGAATATACTATAGTGTTCTGCTATAAGCTCTGGGGTATTAAAGAGACGAATATGCAATACTGTGTACATGGATATACTAAGAAGTAGATAATCGAAAATCGCAAGAAAGAATTGTAAGTATCGCTTGAGTCTCATAAGATATCTTTTTCTATACACACCTCACACAAGACACATGTAATAGAGCTTGTGCTTTCTTATCTTTCATGATATAACAAGTATATGAAAAGAATATTTTTTCTGTTTCTTTTTTTGTTATGTTGTAGTACTGTTTTTAGCAATACCATTCCTTTTTATATTGTAACGAGTTCGTTGAATTTTGATGAGAGACAGCAACTCCTAGGACGTGAGGTATTGCGAAAAAGCACTATGGATGGAGCAAGCGCAAAGTTGTATCTACTTCCTCAGTATAGCACAACAGAAGAGCTACGTCGGTATATGGATCAAAAGCAAACGACGGTGCTGTATGAGGTGTTATTTCTTATTCCGCATGCAGATTCTTATGTAGGAGATGCTACAAATAGTGTAAAAGAGAGAACCGAAGAGACGTTACTGCGAGCGCAGCATACTACCATGCTACGATTTTTTAATGTACTACACAACATTAGCTCCTTCGATACCATAACATATAGGAATATACGAGATGGAAATGTACACCCCTTATTCAATAGTTCTATAAGAATCCGTGGCATGGATGACAAAAGCGAACTCCCCGAACTTACACCGCTTCTTGCTTTGAGCAGCACTGAACAGCAGAATAGTATTTTCGTGTTGCAAGATATGCCTCCTTTTGGAGATGTGATATCGAAGTACAAATACAGTCATAATGATAGCGTTCTTGTGTTTTCTGGGAACAATGCAAGTGTTATTCGCTACTTTGGTTTTGCTGTAGTAGCCCCCAAAGATATGTATATTACCAGTATTATATTTCGTACAGATGAGGGCGTGCTGGTCTATGGAATGGCCTCAGTACGTCTAGGTGCATTTTCGTTTCTTTTTGGGGATACTATTAACAACAGTTTTACAAGTAGGATGTTAGGTTTCTTCGATTGGTTTAGTGCTCAGGTGCAATTTACTCGCAATGAGTAGCGCTCTTTCTTGTAGCTCCTTCTTACTGCGTTGTAATGATCCTTCATGTCGCCTGTAATCCTTACTGACAAGAACACCAGCTACCCAGTACTAGCCCTTCTTTGTTTTGCGTAAAGTATCTTTGCTAATTCGTAGTCTATGTCGCTATCGATGTCTATAGAACATTCGGTTTCCATAATATATGCATAACAACGCTTGGTGAAAGGGTTTGTTTGTCTGTGATATGTGTCTACGCGCCCCCAGAAGATAGCCCCATGCATTTTGTAGTATTGAGGAAGACTCTGCCGTGATTTGTTCCTGTATTGCTTGGGAATAAAGTTATGCATGCTACAATTTTCTGCTAGTACGTTAATCCACGGTTGAGGTATGGGGGAAGGGCAAACGCTTACAACTATTTCTGCGTTCTTTTCTATAAGAAGCTTGTGTGAATTTTGTATATCTTCTGCACCACGCAAGGGAGAGGTGGCTTGCAGTACAGCAAAGTATGTGTAGTGTTCGTTGTTTTTTGCAAGCAATCGTAACACCTCTTTACTTACTTCAGAGCTGGGAACAGCATCCCCAGCTAAGGCCTCTGATCGTAAAAAGGGCACATCAGCACCATATTGCCTTGCGATACCTGCATATTTTTCTGAATCTGTGGATACTAGTACTTTTTCAAAAAGCTTTGAGTGTAGTGCCGCTTCTATGGTATGTGCCATAAGAGGCTTTCCCATAAAAGGAAGTATATTTTTATCTTTAAGGAGCTTAGAGCCCTTACGGGCGGGAATAATTGCAACATTCATATTTTTATTATAATAATTTATTATAGCTATTGAATTATAGTGAAACTTTTACTAATATAAACAATACATAAAGTAGAGTGTTTGCATGCTTGGAAAGTATATATAGAATAAGCAATGCTACATTGACAGGTATTGCTTACATTTATATGTATACAGTACCATAGCACATAATGAAGTAGAGGGTAGTGATGTATGGGTAATATCGTGCAGTATACAAAAAAAGTTAGTAGTAGTAGAAGTGTTTTATAATTGCGTTTAAGCTATATGAATTACACGACGAATATTAAGTGTTCTGTAGTAGGTAATATTATCTTCTATTTATGTAGAATGGTAGAACGAGAAACGCAGTAATATTGTATACTATAAATATATAGTGTGCCCTAATAGGAAGCATAGCAGGATCCCACACGGTAAGTATTTGTTATAATACCAAACTGTATTGATATATTTAAATAAAAAATAAAAAAAAATTGCTCCCTGCAAAAGAGTTGCTGTGAGCAAAAAGGAGTTACATATGTTTTCACAGATGTTTTCACAGTACCTTAAAGGGTTTGTGTATTTTTTTTGTACGATATCTACACTTAGCCTTGTTGCTATTAGTTGCACGGAAGTGACACAGCAATCGAAAGCAACCATGGTAGACGCGTTTACCATACTTCTCCCTCAAGAGGGGGATATAGATAAAACGGACATAACAGTACGTTGGGATGCTCTTGACATTACAGAAGTACGTAATACAGAGGGAGAGCCAGTACAGGCATCTGATATAACAATAGAGGTGTATCATGTAGAAGACCCAGCAAGCGCACCAACAGCACAAGATCTTATAGAAACCGGCAAAAAACTCACAACTCCTCTTACTGCTGAATCAAGCCATGTGAAAATAACAGAGCTTACGGCTGGTACACTATACTATGTAGTACTGAGAGCAGTGAATAGCACAGATGCAACGAAAACAGTAGTAAGTGCTGTGCAGGAGTACACAACCCTCTCCGGTGCAACTCCTCTCCCACAATTCACGTTGATTGAATGGCAAGAAGGTGACAGCCAAAGCGATAGCATAACAGTACGTTGGGATGCTCTTGACATTACAGAAGTACGTAATACAGAGGGAGAGCCAGTACAGGCATCTGATATAACAATAGAGGTGTATCATGTAGAAGACCCAGCAAGCGCACCAACAGCACAAGATCTTATAGAAACCGGCAAAAAACTCACAACTCCTCTTACTGCTGAATCAAGCCATGTGAAAATAACAGAGCTTACGGCTGGTACACTATACTATGTAGTACTGAGAGCAGTGAATAGCACAGATGCAACGAAAACAGTAGTAAGTGCTGTGCAGCAGTATACAACCCTCTCCGGTGCAACTCCTCCCCCACAATTCACGTTGATTGAATGGCAAGAAGGTGACAGCCAAAGCGATAGCATAACAGTACGTTGGGATGCTCTTGACATTACAGAAGTACGTAATACAGAGGGAGACCAGCACAGGCATCTGATATAGCAATAGAGGTGTATCATGTAGAAGACCCAGCAAGCGCACCAACAGCACAAGATCTTATACTCACAACTCCTCTTACTGGCAAGCCATGTGAAAATAACAGAGCTTACGGCTGATATAATAGCACATAGAGGTGTATCATCCTCCCCCACAATTCACTTTGATTGAATGGCAAGAAGGTGACAGCCAAAGCGATAGCATAACAGTACGTTGGGATGCTCTTGACATTACAGAACAGGGAGACAAGGCATCTGATATAACAATAGAGGTGTATCATGTAGAAGACCCAGCAAGCGCAAAACACAAGATCTTATAGAAACCGGCAAAAAACTCACACTCCTCTTACTGCTGAATCAAGCCATGTGAAAATAACAGAGCTTACGGCTGGTACACTACACTATGTAGTACTGAGAGCAGTGAATAGCACAGATGCAACGAAAACAGTAGTAAGTGCTGTGCAGGAGTACACAACCCTCTCCGGTGCAACTCCTCCCCCACAACTCACATTGATTGAATGGCAAGAAGGTGACAGCCAAAGCGATAGCATAACAGTACGTTGGGATGCTCTTGACATTACAGAATACACCAGATATCACAGCGGTACGCACCGCACCAACAGCAAAGGGCGGCCAGCACAGGCATCTGATATAGAGCAGTGAATAGCACAGTATAAAACAGTAGTAAGTGCTCGGAGTACACAACCCTCTCCGGTGCAAGCACGCACGCAAAGCGATAGCATAACAGTGAGAATACACCAGATATCACAGCGGTACGCACCGCGAAAGGGCGGCCAGCACAGGCATCTGATATAGCAGTAGAAGTATACCCCTCACTCTCAAAAACTCGAACCCTCACTCTCGAAGAAGATCACGTAACAATAACAGGGCTTGCAGCTGGAACAAGCTATATGATAATACTAACAACTGTAAACAAAACAGATACATCACAAACAACAATTAACTCAGAAAGAGCAATATACTCAACCCTCTCTATTGCTACTCATCCACCGACCCCCACGTTTGCTGATGTGCAAGCTAACGATATGCGAAGAAACAGTGTTACAGTGCGTTGGGATGCAATAGACGCCACAAGCACAATAGGGAGTAAGGGGCAAAATTTACTACCATCCGACATAATTATGTACTTCTACTATGTAGTAGATGTAGATGATGCATCACCAACGGTGGTTGATGTACTAAAAGTCGATCAAAGATTCCCTGCAGATGCACTTTCCTCAGAAAGCAGTCTGATACTTACAGGGTTAAATCCTGGCACGAACTATTATACAGTACTTCTAGCTATTAACAGGACGGATAGTTCTAAGATAACCGCAAGCACTACTGTGAAAAAGTACACAACACTTGCAGATTCAAGCATAGCAATGGTTCCTGAGTTTATAGAACAAACGACGAGTGACATAAATAGGAGCACAAATAAACTCACAGTAAAATGGCAGAATATAGATGTTAGCGGACTGATAAAAGCGGACGGCACCCCTCTAACAGCTTCAGAGATGAGTGTACAACTCTACTATTTAGAGTCTAGAACGGCAGTAGAACTATCAGAAGTATTAACAAGTGGAGCAACACAGGAAGCAACAGGAGATATGTCTTCTATGCAAATACCAATAAACCTTAACACATACTACTATATAGCGATGGAAGTCATTAGCAAGGTTGACGCTTCAAAAACCGCAATAAGTAACGAAGTAACAAAATATTATACACACGAGTATAGTCCCGAAACAAAAGCAACACTAAGAGAAGATGTCATGAGAATAATACGCACAGATTTTTCTTCAGATGTCAACAATATTGATACAAGTAAGATTACAGATATGTCAGAGCTGTTTTATGGAGTTCCCTATAATGGAGATATATCTCAGTGGGATGTCAGTAATGTAACAAATATGTCAGGTATGTTTAGAAATAGCCAGAATTTTAATCAAGACATAAGTAAGTGGGATATCAGTAATGTAACAAATATGTCAGGTATGTTTAATGGTGCTAGCGATTTTAATCAAGACATAAGTAAGTGGGATGTCAGTAATGTAACAAATATGTCAGGTATGTTTAATGGTGCTAGCAATTTTAATGCAGACATAAGTAAGTGGGATGTCAGTAATGTAACAAATATGTCAGGTATGTTTAATGGTGCTAGCAATTTTAATGCAGACATAAGTAAGTGGGATGTCAGTAATGTAACAAATATGTCAGGTATGTTTCAGAAAGCAAGTTCTTTTAATCGAGATATAGGTCATTGGAACGTAAACTCAGCTACAGATATGAATTATATGTTTGCAGAAGCTCATATTTTTAATCAAGATATCAGTAGGTGGAATGTAGGCAAAGTACAAAACTTTAGTCATATGTTTTATGATGCTAGAGAGTTTAACCAGGACTTAGAAGACTGGGATGTATCTCAGGCAAATTACATAAATGACATGTTTACAGATAGTGGGGTAGTAGAGAAACCAAGCTGGTGTATAAAAGAATACTATTGTTAGTTATGTGGTATGCATGCGACAATACCATAGATACAATACGCATTTTGCATTAGCGTAAAGATAAGAGCAGTTAGTTCGTTGTAGATCTAGCTGCTCTTTTTGTACTTCAAATTATTACATATTTACTTGAGTTCTTACTTGAAAGTTTTTTGAATTCTACTGCTGTACTCGCATATAATAAAAGCCTAGCAACAAACATAGAGAGGAAACAATGTATATATACAAGCAAAGAATACAAAACCATTTTTTATCTTCATTACTGCATCTAGACTTACTGTATCAGAATATGAAAACATAGAAGGAACTACTTTCCAGGCAACAGAAGTAGTAGCACCGAGTATTGCAAGTCCTTCTGAAGCAGATTTGAGTGGGAATAGCATACTGTGTGTTGTACTGAAATTAATGCTAACGGCGTTCTTGATAAAGATGTTGTAAACCTTCTTAGGTAGGTGTACTTCAAGTATTCTTTTGATAACCTAACAAGAAATATACAGTAAGATAACGAAATACAGAAAACTTCAGACGTACCCAAGAGGACTCGAACCTCCGACCTTCAGATCCGCAATCTGATGCTCTATCCAACTAAGCTATGGGTACAAAACTATATCGTATAAAATGCTATATCTTATACAGATGTAGAAATAGAAAATTTCGGAGAAGGTGGGATTCGAACCCACGGTACCTCGTTAGAAGTACAACTTCTTAGCAGGAAGCCCGATTCAACCTCTCTCGCACTTCTCCTGCTATTATTATAGCGTGTATGGGGAAAATAGAAAAGGTGTGATTGTCCATAGAGTATACTTGAATCTACATCAACTGCGACTCTAGTAGTTTTTTTACCATAGAGGGATTTGCCTTCCCTTTACTTGCCTGCATAACAGCTCCCATAAGAAAACCAAAAGATTTTGTATTACCATCCTTGTATTGCTTTGCTGCTTCCGCTTTCTGTTGTAGTACTGCGTGTATTATGCCAAGCAGTTCTTCCTCTGGCAGCTCCTGCAGCGAATACTTTTCAATAAGAAGTTCTGGGTCGCAGTCTTCTTCAAATATCTTCTCTAATACAATTTTTGCCATCTTTCCATGTAGCTTCCCTTCTTGTATTAGCTGTAGTAGAGAAGAGAAGCGCTCGGGTGTAAGCGGGGCAGAAGCAAAGTGTAGGGAGTGCTTATTGTAGAGTTTTTTTACATCTCCTGTAGCCCATGTAGCAACAAGTTTTGGGTCAACCCCTCTAGACAGAACATTCTCTAAGTAATCTACAGCAGTCTTTTCTTCCATAAAGAAATCCAAGAGACCGTGATCTAGACTATAAGTCTTTTGTAAACGCAGTTGGCGTTGACTTGGAAGTTCCACACCTTCTTCGTCTAAAGCAGTAAAGAAATCTGCACCAAGGGTTACAGGGCTAATATCAGGTTCGGGAAAATACCTATAATCATCTGCTTGTTCTTTGCTACGCATAGACACAGTAATATCCCTGTTTTCATTCCACAACCGAGTTTCCTGAACAATGTTTTTATTTTCAGTAAGCACAGTAGACTGCCTCTGTATTTCATACTCCAATGCAGCACGTACAAAACGAAAACTATTTACATTTTTGATCTCAACCTTCACTCCCAAGCCTTTTCCTGGATAATTGATAGACACATTCGCATCACAACGCAAAGATCCTTCTTCCATATTTCCGTCGCAGACAGCAAGGTAGCGTACTAAACGTCTAAACTGCCTTAGCATAGACTCCGCTTCTTCAGGGCTATGGAGTTCGGGTTCGGTAACTATTTCCATAAGTGGCGTTCCCGATCTGTTATAATCGCAGTAACTACTTTCTGAGCTATGGATCAGCTTACCCGCATCTTCTTCTAAATGAGCTTCATGAATACGAAGAGAACGCATTGTATTATTGTAGAGAAATCCAAAAACCCCATTTCTTCCAATAGGGGAATGAAATTGTGATATCTGGTAGTTTTTGGGGAGATCGGGATAAAAGTAATTTTTTCTATCAAACTGCACTGTTGGTGCAAGGGTGCATTGTAAGGCACGGGCTATTCTATATGCATATTGAATAGCCTTTGCGTTTGGCATGGGAAGCATGCCAGGAAAACCAAGGCAGACAGGGCATACGTTTGTATTCTGTGTATCACCAAAGTTATTGGGGCAGGAACAGAACATTTTAGAAGCTGTGCTTAGCTGTACGTGTATTTCTAGACCAATAAAAACATCAAAATTTTGCATGCACCTACAAATCCTTCATCATAGCTTCGCGGTCTTGTAAATCGCGAGAGCTATGTTCAAAAAATTTCTTCGCATATGGAGAATAGCGGTGCTCAAACAAATGAGCTGTATTTTCTAGAAAAAGACAAATTCTATCCTCAGTATACAATGGTCCTACTACCTGTGCCCCCATAGGAAGACCATTGTACCACGCAACGGGAAAGGAGGCCGCGGGCAGTCCTGCTAAATTCGCTACTACAGAAAATGTATCGCCTAGTTTTTGGGCGAAATCGCTTAATTGTGTATCATCAAAACGAAAAGATTGGGTAGGGAACACAGGAAGTATGAGTAAATCATAGTGCTTAAATAAGGAGAGCAATGTCTTTTGTATGTGCTTTTGTAATGCACGTGCCTTTGTATAGTACTGATCTTGAAAACCTGATTGTAAAATATAAGCACCTGTAAGCACTCGCAGCTTTACCTCGGAGCCAAAACCAGCATTTCTTGATCTACGCACAAGGTCTGCGCTGCTCTGTGCGGTGGCATCGCGTGTGCCGTAGCGGATACCATCGAAGCGAGCGAGGTTTGAGCTTGCCTCTGCTGTGCTTATGTTTAGATACACAGCAGCAGCGTAATCAAAAATAGGGAGGTCAATCTCTGTAACCTCATAACCAATATTTCTATACTGTTGCACCGCAAGAAGCATGCCGTTACGTATTTCTTCTGCAATGTTTCTTCTTGGAATATATACTGCTACCTTTTTTACCTGTTCTGAAGGTGTTTTTTGAGGATAAAAAGAGCTTGTGTCTTTAGGGTCTCTTCCCTTTACTTTTATTATCGAGAAAATCTTTCGTAGCCAGGAGGGTTGCTCTGCAATAATGCCTATTACATCTAAGGAAGACGAATACGCCACGAGACCATAGCGCGATACAGCACCATAGCTAGGTTTAAGCCCCCATACTCCACAGAACATAGCTGGTTGTCGTACTGAGCCTCCAGTGTCACTCCCCAATGCAAAAGGCACCATACCAGCAGCAACAGCAGCAGCAGATCCTCCGCTCGAGCCTCCAGGGCTCCTTCCTATATCCCAGGGATTTGCCGTACGCCCGAAAATACTATGAGTCGTGGAAGAACCCATGCCAAACTCGTCCATATTTGTTAACCCTACAATACTAAATCCTGCATCAAGCAGTTGAGCTATAGCACTGGCATGAACAGGGCTTGTAAAATCTTTCAGGAGATTGGAGGCGCAATGTAGTGGCATTCCCTTCATAGCTATATTGGACTTTATAGCACAAGGAATCGAATGAGTACTACTTGCAGCATGAGTAGCATCTCCATGCACGGCATCTACTTTCCTGGTTTGTATGTTTTCGTTATAAAACACAAATGCATTAAGGTCTTTGTTTATCTTCTTTATTACATTGAAGTACCCCGTGCTATCGCCGTGTAACCCCGATAAAGATTCGCTTGTAATACGAGAGGAAGTGAGTATTGTGTTCCAGTAATCGTCTTTCATATATACAGCTCTATACTTGCTATACTAATTATAGAGTAATTAAAGGTAACAGTGTATAGCATAAGTAATCTTATGTTTTGTTTGTAATACTTGCTACTATCACTAAGCACCAGAGCATGCATCATATCTGTTCGTTTGTTCTCGTGTACGTTTTTTATATGCTGGTGCTGTGTATGCTTTTACTGTGTTGTGTATTATTGTTGTTTATGTGTTCTTGTAGCGTTTGTGCTACTTAGTTGTAGGTAGTATTACAGCACATTAGGGATAATAAAATAATTGTCTTCGTGCTCTGCGCTCTTAGCAATAAGAGTATCAACGTCTTTGTGCTGTACTAACTCGTCCTTTCTCCATACACCGTTTTTTGTTTCTTTTTCACTTACTTCTTCTAATTCTTGTGTATCGATAGTGTTCATAACAGAAAAATACTCTACTAGCATAGCAAGGGAAGTCTCCAGTTCTTTACATTCTGCGTCAGTAACTGATATGTTTAATAATTCAGCTGTTTGCAACACCGTTTCTTTTGCTATCACTATTCTTATTTTCTTACATTTTGTATTATACGTCAAGTGCTAAGTGCTATACTCTTTTTGCGCGTTTAAGAAAAGCACCCTATATGCATACATGGAAGTAAGACCATGAGCAGGGAAGGTACGATATCCTGCTATGCTAAAGCATAGGTTATAGAGTATGCGCCTTACAATATTTCACTAGTGTTCTATAATAAATATGTGCCAGCGTGGTGAAATTGGTAGACACGCTAGACTCAAAATCTAGTAGGAATTATCCTGTGTGGGTTCAAGTCCCACCGCTGGTATTATCTTTTAGTATCCATAGAAAAGAGCGTATTCTTCCTTCTTTAGTACGCAGTATTTTGAATTTTCCCAGCACAGTTGGCACTACAGTGCCCAAAGTGGGTAGATTTTGCGTAATTTCAAGAATATAGCCTCCTATAGTAGAAGATTCATGCTTTTCTTCCAATACAATGCCTACGTACTCCTCTAGCTTAGTAAGTGCAGACGATGCATCTATAAGTATACGTCGAGAATCTAGCTTCATAAACAACGCGTCAGTATCAGAACTACTATACGTGTTTCCTGGTATGTCAAAGATGTAGTAAATAATATCTTTTAGTGTAATAAGCCCCGAGATTCCTCCAAATTCATCTGTTACAATACTAAGATACTGTGCACGTTCCCTCATTATTTCTACAAGCTCATCCATAGCTTTGTGTTCAGGGGTGAAAAGAGTTTTTTCTACTAATTCATAGAGTTTTGTGTGTTTGTTTTTTTCAGAGATAAGATCATGCAAGTGAACCACCCCAATAATATGCTCAGCATTGTCTTTGGAATACACAGGGTAGAAGTTATGGAGGTGCTTGTTTATGGTATCTTGTATCTCACTGGGGCAGCAGTGTGACGAAAAGCTTATGAGTGATTTTCTATGCACCATAATCGAGCTAATTGAAAGATGCGAGAAACCAAGAATGCGCGTTATGGCATGTGTGTGTTTTAATTTCAGCTCGCCTTTTGAATGAGCATTGAAAAAGAGTCGTGCTAAGTTCTGACGGGATAAAACCTCGCTGTCCTGACGGGCGGTATTCTTTTGCACCAACTTGTGCATAATAGTAGTAAAGTTGTTAAGAATAATAGATATAGGGGAAAGTAGTAATTGAAAAAAATACAAGGGAATAATTGTTCGTAGCATGATTGCATAGTTATAACGCAGAGAAAGTTGCTTCGGTCCTATTTCGCAGAACACCAGTAGAAAAAACGTTATCATACCAGTGATAATAGCAAGTGTTTTATTGCCAAGTAGCTGTATCAATAGGTAGCTTGTTGCTATAGAGAAGCCTGTATTTGCAGAAGTGTTTCCTATAAGTATAGTGCTTAACACCTTCATAGGATCAGCTATAAATTTTTGCAGAATCCTACCCCTCAGTGGAAACTTTACAATAATAATATTCTGATGCATTTTACTCAAAGAGGTAAATGCTGTTTCTACTCCAGAAAAAAAAGAAGAAAGTAAAAAAGTGCTCCCGATAATAATGAAATAAGCAGTCATTGAATCAAACACAATTATTGCATAGATTATATATTAGCATAACATACTTCTAAGCATGGTAAGAAAACCACAGCAACGTCATTTGTCGCCACTACGGCAGATACTCCATCGAGATATTATCCAACCCAAAAAGGGTATAATGCGTTCCCAATAGCCGAATAGCCTCTCTTGTAATAATTGTGGGTACTCTCTGTGATTGAAATAGTGTATTAAGTTCTGTTTGTATGAGTTTCTGTATTCTGTGATTCTCTAAAGTACTGTACCCACCAAGAGGATCAGACTGGTACTGTATAATTCTCAAATGAGACACAGCAACATTCAGGCTAGTACTGCTATCAGTTGTGTTTCTGATGGTATTTAATTGAGGGAGATCTGTCCAACCAACAGTCGCTCTTATATTTACAAATATCCCCTGCGGATTATTTTGGAATGAGATAGGGAGATAGCTCTCTTCTATCTCAAGATCAAAAGGAAACATAATACGTAAGTATAAATCTCCAGCTTGAAATACTGATCTGTTATCGTCAATAAACCCCGATTCCCCCACTAGTTTTGCACTGTGCAAAAAACGAGGGATTTGTGGTTCAGTGCGGGTTTCTGTATCTGCTGTGTTTATTGTACTGTCAATGTTATCTGGTGTAGCGTCTAGTGATTTCTCTGCTGATTCCACAGTGGAATTCTTTGGGGCTAAGCGTGAGATAATACTTTCTTCAAAAGGAAGAGGTGCTAAGTCGAAAAGAGCAAATACAACAACTAACGCAATGTTGATAATGATAAATACGCATATCCAAAGAAGATAGAATATAAAATTAGAAGAATTAGAGTTCATTCAATATCCTTCATTCAGTTGAGTGCATGCATTCCCATAATATATAAATCATCATTTTAATTATACTATACTTTATGAAGTAACGTATTCAAGAGAATACATACAACGCACAGATAGCGTTTAGCGCTTTAGCGATGTTGTAATAAACAGGAGCAACATAAGAGGATAAAATAGAAGTATTGAAGTATAATAAGAGTATACATTACCACATAACATGAACATAGAAAGAATTAAGCAAATAAGAGATGTATTTTCGTATTCGCGTCGCTTCAAAAAGAAAACATTTGTTATTCATATAGACGATGCGTTACTAGACACCGATATGGTGGGTTCTTTATTACAAGATATACACCAGTTAGTTGAATCTGGAATATATATAGTACTTCTTGCGGGAATACGAACCACAACAAAGCGTATGTTCTCGCAATTTGGGCGTAGCACACAGTTCTTGTGGGATAGCGCTGTTGTAGTAGAAGAAACAGACATAGAATTACTACAAAGTGTAGTGTTTGAAACTACAGGGAAGATACTTGCAGCGTTTGCAAGTATGCAACAGGTAGCGGTAGTAGGAAACTGGGCAAGCGCCAGAAGCAGAGGGGTGGTACATAATAAAGATCTTCTCTATTCAGGAAAACTAGATAAGATAGATAGAACTGCCATACAGAAACTTTTTGAGAATAATGTAGTACCAATTTTTCCTCCACTAGGATGGAGTAAACGAAAAAAGCCCTACTACCTTTCTTCTATTGAGTTGGCGGCCCAAGTGAGCATTATTTTAGGGGCAGCAAAACTAATATATGTACAGGAAGAAAGTAACGAATACCTCTTCGAGGAACTTGCGTTAGATAAGGAGTCTGAATTATCTAATGTTCCAGTAGAGGGGGGTTCTATCCGAGTTACCGTGGAAGGGGCGAAGCAGATACTACAGAATACTATCAAAAGTCACAAAGATGAAACTGGGCATATGCTCCAATCAGCAACCCAAGCATTAGACAAGGGTGTGGAGAGAGTACACTTACTGGATGGGACCATCGATGGGGTTCTACTGTTAGAAATCTTTTTTGATCAAGGAATAGGGGTTATGCTGCATTCCGATGAATATAAATCCATCGGCCCCATCGCAGAATCTGATATAGAGACTGTGTACAACATTATGCTTCCTCATATCAGAAAAGGAACTCTGCTTTTCCGTGAACCCGAAACTATACGTAAGCGTATGCACGACTATGTATCCTATCGTGTAGATGGTGAGATATATGGCGTGGCAGCATATCACAAACTAGACACGCATTCTGTAGAGATAGCGGCAATTGCAATAAGAGAGCGCTATGAAAACTTCGGGGTAGGAAGACGCTTAGTGCAGTATCTGCTAAAAAAAGCACAAAGTGAACGTTATAACAATATCTTCTGTCTCACTCGGTCCATAGGAGATTGGTTTGAAGAGTTGGGATTTAAGCAAGTCGACGCTACACAGCTCCCAAAAATACGTTACGCTCAATATATCTCTGCTGGAAGAAATAGCAGGGTATACCTTTATAAGAATTAGCTCTTAGTAGAGAAGAGTGTGCAACCCTTTGCGTACTCCTTGCAGAACACGAGATCATATATTGAGTGAGTGTAGTTCTTAGACCAGTTATCGCTTGTAATCTTCCATGGCAGGGTTTGTAGTTGCTGTGAGTTCTTCGCATAGAAGTACACCGGATACCCCGCGTTCCTAAACAGTGCGATGCAAGCTGCGTAATCCCAGATCTTTGCTTTTCCGCTGTAGACGGTAGCGTTTCCAGCCAGTACCTCGCGGATAGAGAAAACGCAGGACCCAAGCTGCGGATTCTTGCGAGCAAGTGAGTGGGTTGTGAGTTTGTTGCTTTGTTGTTTCTGCGTGGTATGTGCTGTGTCTGTACCCTCTGCTGTATCTTTGCTGTACAGAAGTAGTTGTGATGTATCTATGTTTTGTATTTCTGATAAAGGGACATCTGATACATAGTAATATGTCCCTTTCTTAGTACTTATATGCATCTCACGAATATCAGGTAGCACAATAGCCCCATGTTTGAATTCATAATTTTCTGTATAACCTATGCTTATACCCCATAATGGAAGACCATTAAGAAAGTTATTGGTACCATCAATAGGATCTATTATCCAAACTTTCTTTGATAAAAGGTGATGCGCATCGTAGCGCTGTAGTTTTTCCACTACACCCTCTTCTCCTAAAACAAAGGTATGCTGGGAACTGTTTTCTATTTCCTTACATAAAAAATGTTCTACCTCTAAATCTGCGTTGGTAAACACTTCGTTTTTACTGCTCAATGAAGTATTTTTCTTATATACTGAAATGTTTTTTCTGCATGCAAGGGCTATTTTGCTTGCTTCAAGTAATAGTGTAGAAACAAATTCCATGTCCCATTCCATACAACCATTGTATTATAGTATTGAGTAAAAGATGTGAGAAATACACGGTAAGCAAGTAGCGCTGTAGTATTTAGTAACGATATCATGAAATATAGTAAACAACACCCAGATAAGTAGTACAAGCAATCTAGTTATTACTATACAAGTATAGTATACTTATCTACATGGCAGTATCGAAAGCAAAACAAAAGACACACACAAGCGTACAAGCTCTGCAAGAACAAGTGGTAACGTATGCAATTCCTCAAAGCTTTAACCCATTTGAAATTGGAGAACGTATTATTCGAATAGAAGAAGAGCTTAAGCACCAACGTGAACTTATGCACGAAGGGTTTAAGATGATGGACAAACGCTTTGAAGACATGCAGAAAAACATGGACAGACGTTTCGAAGTAGTGGACAGACGTTTCGACGCCATGCAGAAAAACATGGATAAACGTTTTACTGTTGTTCTGTGGATTATAGCAGGAGGCTTTGCAGGAACCTGGTCTATTTTAGCTTTACTTATAAGCAATATGCTTGCATAACGTGCTTCACGATAATACAAGCAATCTAGTTATTACTATACAAGTATAGTATACTTATCTACATGGCAGTATCGAAAGCAAAACAAAAGTCACACACAAGCGTACAAGCTCTGCATAATTCATGGGATGTCAAAAACGTCAACGTACAAGCTCTGCAAGAACAAGTGGTAACGTATGCAATTCCTCAAAGCTTTAACCCATTTGAAATTGGAGAACGTATTATTCGAATAGAAGAAGAGCTTAAGCACCAACGTGAACTTATGCACGAAGGGTTTAAGATGATGGACAAACGCTTTGAAGACATGCAGAAAAACATGGACAGACGTTTCGACGCCATGCAGAAAAACATGGACAGACGTTTCGACGCCATGCAGAAAAACATGGATAAACGTTTTACTGTTGTTCTGTGGATTATAGCAGGAGGCTTTGCAGGAACCTGGTCTATTTTAGCTTTACTTATAAGCAATATGCTTGCGTAGTAGAAGTTCTTATAGCAATGATATGTATTCTTTGTTCTTTGTATGGTGTGTAATCGCTTTTCCACAGAGGGATCAGAGTAGGTACTAAATATATACTATTTCTATAGCTAAAAAATAATATAAAACATGCTAATACATAGTATATACACATAAATACACAACATATTATGCAATGTATATATAGTAAATATACAATATTTCTAAAATAATAATGAATAACAGCTTGTGCAATTATAGTGGTATACATAATATACACAACGCACAAGAAATACTAGGCAGACAACAATTAATGATATAGTAATATTAGTGGGTTATATAAAACAATCAGCTATTAAGATCATGCAAGACGCGCTGCTCAATAGTGATGTAAATATCGTATTTCCAAATAGAACACTCCGTAATCATTGGCTTAGGGTTTTAAGTATGCATATGGGAGCTGTGCACGTAAAACGTGTTCTGGATATCACAGAATTTTTCACTGCGTTGATAGATACATACAAGGCTAGATACCACCCCTCGCATATTCGAGTTCTTGCTCCGCAAGAATCTCGCCTTATTCTTTACTCTCTTTTGCAGGACAAGGAGATATGCAAAACAATACTTCATATAGAAGAAGTGGAGGAAGCAAGCAGATTGCATGCTCCGTTTCCTTATGAATATACAGAGAAACTTTCTTCGCTCTTCCATTCCTTTTTCTTTTTTCTTCAGCATGCACATTCACTTGCACTAAACGATTCTATCGCAACTCTTTATGAAGCGTACACGGCATTGCTGCAGTCTACAGCATGCATTGATAAATATGGACTACTCTACCAACTCTACAGCGAGGGAATGCAGAAGAATAGTGACAGCAAAGTAAAAGAGATGACATGTTCTACCCCCTTCCTGTTTGCTTTTCCACAATTGCTGGAATGTGAAGTGCTATCTCAACTTTATTTTCTAGAGCAAAAAAAAGCTATGAACGCACGGTGCATGGTATTTCATGCTGATAAAGATACACAAGCATGTACGAGCGTTACGCTTACTGAACTAAGAGAAAACTACATAGGTAGCACAGAGGAGAAAAAAGAACAAAACACCGTAAATGCTGTATTTAAGTGTGGTCATATTAATGATGAATTAGATTTTGTTTGCTCCTCAATAGCACAGCTACTTGCAACAGAAAAACCCCACAACATAGCTATTACATTATGCAAGTACTCCGCATCCTTGGAAGGAAAGTTAAGAAATATAGCAGCGCGCTATGCCATACCTATACATACTTCCTATAGCACCCCATACCCCTTGCTCTCTCAACTTATGAGTGTGTATGTAAAAAACTACGGTGTAAGATACATGGACGAACTTCTTATGGACCCGCGGATACAATGGAAGTACAGAGATAAGCATATATCCATACTCCACATTGGGTATGCTAATATAGCAACAAGCACAGCAAACGACTATCTATGGAAAGTAGCATTGAAACCAGGCGAGAAGAAACGAGTCGGAGAAAGTACATATGCAGCAGATGATGTTATAGGCAATCTTTCACTACATGATTATTTCGATCGTTTTCAAAAGGCAGTAAAATCTGTCTGTACTGCAAAAACTTTCCTACATCTCCGAGAAGCAATATACACGTTTCTTGACTCTTTTGTAGATTGTGTTTCGCCAAAAGAAGAAACAGAAGCAAGAGTAGAAGAAGAGTGGGTACGTACATTACGTCGTTCGCTTAGCGAATACGTGATATTTAGTAGGTACATGCAAACACAAACAGGCACACAAAACACAACGCGTATACAAAAAAATATAGAAACCTCTCAAATATTCGAAGAAGGTCTAGGTTTAGACCCTTTTGCTATACTGTGTGCTAACTTAAAAACATTTACTCCCAGCAAAGACAAACACGCATCAGCAGTACATGTATTACGTTTTCCTCATTCATCCTTCTGTGGTTTTACACATCATTTTTTTGTAAATTTTAGTCAGGACAATATACACAGCATACTCTCTCCCAAAGATATGTTTTCTACCATACTAGCGAAACAATATATTGGCCCAGAGCGTGAGCTCTTATATGAGAAGCGCAAACGCTTTCTTATAGACAACGTAACTACATGCAATGACAACTGCACCCTCAGTTTTTCAGAGCAAACGGAAATGGGTTTGCAGCTTTCTCCAAATTACTGGAAGCATATACAGAGCGTGGGAGAGAATGCAGGCATACTTAAGAAAGAGCAGAAACGCTGGCGGCAGTTACTTGCTGGACAGTTTAGTGTTGAAAGGTCATTTGATGAAGCGCGCATTACTCATGCGCAGCTGCAAGGTATGGAGTTTCAAAAACAACTAGGTGTCATAGGGAGGAGGAAATCCTTTTTTTCGTATTCTATGCCTAAAACACTAAAATCGTTGTTTCAAAAAGAGCTAAAACAAGAAACATCTACATCTGTGAATAGAAAGGTATATCCGAGTACTATTTCTCAGATTCTCAAAAACCCCCTACAATATTTCTTTGATACTGTTTTAGGGGTAAGGCCACTCTTCCGTATAGTAGACATATTTTCGCTTGAACGCCAGCAGTACAGTAGCGGACTACACCAAATATTTGCTCGTATAGCAAAAATTTTTCACGACAAGATAAGTGCTATAGGATTCACAACGCTTACTATAAAAGACGTAGAAGAATTATTCAAATACGTACCTCTTAAAGAAGAAAATATTCAAGAATACAAAGAAATTATGTCACAGTACCCTACACATATATTGCAACGTGTAGTTATGGAAGATGCTGTGGACAAGACTGTGCTGTATCATTACATCATACATCTTTTTGTGTTTATGTTGCAGGAAGGAAGTACTATTTCTCAGATTGAAGAACATATGAAAAAAGATCTCTCAACACTCACAGAGTTTCATTTTCCGCCTTTTCTTTTACAAGGTAAACCAGATATTGTTTTTAATAATCGATCTAGCAATCAGTATGTTGTTTTTGATTACAAACTTCATAAGATCAAGAATGTGGATAGATTGAGAGAGGCTGTCAGCCAGCTATGGGCATATAACGCATTCTATGATGATAATCTTACATTGATAGAACACTATGATGACAGAAATCATACGCATAGCACAACTACAGAAGTAACAGCAGATACTGTTGCACAGCAGTATTGTGCACATGGTATGCTGTACTACATAGCAGAGAGCACTGCTCGGAAAGGGGTAGCTGAAACATTCTTCCCTCCCAGAGCTTCATTATTACAAGAAAGTGTATTGGAGCATGTACAGAGTATGTATGAATTATTACGAAAGAATACGGGTTATGAAATCTCTGTAGAAGCATACAAAAATCGTGCAATAACAAAAAGCACATCGCGTTTACTTGCACAGATGCATGCGTTTACCACGCAGCTACCCAAACAACTTTCCTTAGTGTTGAATTATATATATGAACTAAATTTCCCAGAGTATTTTATGAATATACAAGAGGAACGCAGGCGGAATAAGGAAAAAGAACAACAGGATAAGGTAGAACTAAGCGAAACAGAGGGAGAAGCAAAAGAGAGCGATACAGACACGCATGCAATGTCTCTCGCCGAATTATATGAT